TACATTCATAATTGAAAGAACTAAAAATTAGTTCCCAGGTAATAAAAATAGATGTGATTTTATCCCCATTCTAGTTCAAAAATCCCCTATAAAAATCCACCAAATGGTGAAATCCCAGGTTAAAATCCTTTCTAGTTCAAAGCTGTGCTCAAACTGACTTCTGTCACAAATTTTAAAATAAAGATTCCTCCCTTGGCCTAGCTCTCATCTGAACATATCACCATGCCTGTTTTCCCACAGACTTATACACAGAACACTGTTTATTTCTATGGTTTGCCCAGCCAGCACCCATTTAAATTTGACAGTCAATAAAAGGTGAAGTTGAAGAAAAAGGAGATGGAAGCAACCACCAGTCTCTCAATTCCAAGACATTCAACAGCAGGTAGAAAGATGCCAAGTATACTGGGTGTGTGTTTTTCGAAGCTGGGCTGCCCCCAGACCCAGGAGTCCAGCTTGTCAGGAATCCCCGAAGCATGACACCTTCACTAGCGTCACTCAGAAGATATTCCACCTCCCTCTCGCCTCCTGTGCTCAGTTCTCCACCTGAAGCCGCCTCGCCGTTCTTCGGTCCGTTCCCATCCCATCCCCCACGCGTCCCTCCCTCTCGTCTGCCCCAGGCCGCCCTGGCCCGCGGGCGCCGCCACATCTGTCCCCTGGGCCTAACCGTGTGTCCCCCTAACCCTACTTCCACCGACACGGGAGGGAAGGGGCCAGGGCCCAGGGGTCATCTGCACTGGGTGGCCCGGCCATTAGGCGCAGGCTGCGGCCCTAGGCCAGACCAGCCCGGCCGCCAGGCAGCGAGCCGCGCACTCCGCGCGACTTAACCGGAGACGCGCACTCACCACGGGGATCACACGAAGGAGGGCACCCAGGTCTCGCCGCACCGCCACTCGGCCTCGGAATCGCCGCCGTCGCCGCGAACTGCCACCGCCGCTGCCGCCGCCGCCGCCACTGCTCGCTAGCTGGCTTCCCTGCGTCCTGCGGCGGCGCTGCCGCCACGCCATGGCGCGTGCGCAGCGCCGCGGGGGCCCCTGGGACTGGTGGTTCGCCCGGGCGGCCAAAGCGGCCCTTCGGTTTTAGCCCGCACCGTCAGCCACCCGCTGGAGCGTTCGGGGGCGTCTGCGGTACCGCGAAGCGCCTTCCGGAAAACCGTTCCTCAACTGACCCGCGACCTTGCTTCTGCGCAGGTTGCTGCTGGGTGTGAAAAACACGCCTGTGCAAGTCCGTGTAAAGAAAAGAATTTAGAACATTAACATCTTCGGTTACAAGTGTCACTTGCCCCGGACACATGACTCGACTCACGCGCGCGCGCACGCACAGACACAGCACCTCCACCTTTCTGTTAAAAGTTTTGTAAGTGGCCTTCAATGGTATCGGGATTTTCAGTCTTAAACTTGATTTCCCAGTCCTCGTTTTATCCTTTTACTTACTGTGAATTTGACCATACAGTTTTTTAAGTTGGCTGATTTATCTGATAAAATTTTATTTTACAAAAATAACTCAGGTATAGTCAAACGTCAAGTTAACAGAGCTGAACAGTCATAGAAACTTTAGAATTGGAAGACACGTTATAGGGTATTAGTCTAACTCCTGCCCAGGCAGGAATTCGCTCTTGTACATTCCATGTAATGATCTTCCAACTTTCTCTCTTTTTTTTTTTTTTTTTAAGATTTTATTTATTCATTTGAGAGAGAGAGAGCAGGAGCAGGGGCCAGAGGCAGAAAGAGAAATGGACTCCCCCCTGAGCCAGGAGCCGGAACTGTAGCTCCATCCCAGCCCCGGGAGATCATGACCCCACCAGAGCGCAGACACTTAACGTCTGAGCCACCCAGGCGCCCCCTCTTCCAACTTCTATTTCCACAGTTCCAATTTCAGGGAGCTATCTCAAGTGAGATAGCCCGCTCCACTGATGGACAGCTCTAAAGGTTAGAAAGTTCTGCCTTGGGTGAAATCGGCTTCCCTTTTACCTCCTTCCAGTGCTAGAAGTTCTGATGTCTGGAACAATATACAATGTTTTCCATTTTACAGCCTTTCAAAAAACTGAAAACAACGATTATATCCTCCATCACTGGGGCTCTCCAAACCGGAAAAAAAAAAAAAAGTAATATTCAGTTTTCCAGCTATTTCAAATGTGAATCAGCTCCTACATTGCTTTCATTTAGTCATCCTCCTTGATGTATTACACTTAAAAATTGTCAAAATTTGCTATTTATTGCCTCATTTTCTTAGCATGATAGCATTCTACAGTTAGCTGGTCAGGTATTATGACTATCATATTGTCATTCAACTGGTTGAGGAATTCAGTTGAAAGACTACTTACAAGCTCTGTTTTAAAGCATTGCCCAAAGGACCATGAGGATAACTCACACAGATTAAGGATCATAATAATAAGCTAAGGTAGAAAGCTCTATGAGAACCCCTGAGAAAGTTTTCATCGAGTTGAGGGGCCATGACTGTAAGATATGATAGTTGGGAGTTACTGGATGGCTGGATTTTAATAAGGAAGATGGCATGTCAGGATTGCTAAGGAAAAACCCAGCCTGAGCAAAACTTGAACACATTCAAGGTTTGCTTTCACTTAACACTGAGTACTCTAGATGGGCTTGGAGCACACTTGCCATGGGAGAGAGGAAGAAAGGACCCTAAAAGTTGCAAAAAGCTCCTGAGGGTTGTAGAAAGAGCACTGGGATGGTCAATCATTCTGAACCCTACTCTGCCATCTGTAAATCAAGAGGTTGAACTAAATAGGCAGTTTTCCACTTTTTCCCCCCACAGCACACCCCAGGAACACAACCCCCACATTAGAACAATGGATCACTACAACAGCAATTCTTTTTTTAAAAAAGGATTTTATTTATTTGAGAGACAGAAAGAGAGAGAGAGGGAGAAAGATGGTGAGCATGAGCGGGGGGAGGAGCCAAGGGAGAGGAAGCAGCAGATTTCTGGCTGAGCAGGGAGCGGGATATGGGGCCTGATCCCAGGACCCTGGGATCATGACCTGAGCCAAAGGCAGATATTTAACCGACTGAGCCACCCAGGTGCCTCTACAACAGTAATTCTTGTGGAATATGTGGCAGGTGGTATTCTCGACACCTTTAACGCATGGAGAAATGAACTCAAGAGGTGAACAGATGCTCAAAATCAATAAAGTGACCTCGGAGGGCACAGAACCCCATCTTATTTACCACTGTCCCTCTGGAACCTGACATACCACCTATGATGTAATACATATTTTCGTTCCTTTTTTTAATGAATGGGATGAATAAAGAGTGAACCCTGGCTAAAGCTCTTTCCACTACGCCTCTCAGCCTTCCCTGGTATACACGGACATGAAGTTACATATCCGTAGTTACAAAATTCATACTGATCTTGATTAGAGCTCTGTTTTTCAGATTTCTAACTCCATACTCTCCATAAAACTACTTTGCTGCAGAATCAGAGCGCACTGACAAACTCAGAATTTAAAAAAAAAAAAGTTCCTGGAGTGCCTCGGTGGCTCTGTTGGTTGAGCATCTGCCTTTGGCTCTCGTCATAGTCTCAGTGTCCTGGGATGGAGCCCCAAATCGAGCTCCCTGCTCAGTGGGATCTTCTTCTCCCTCTGCCCCTCCCCCCTGCTCATGCTCTCTCTCTTTCAAAATAAGTACAACTCTTTAAAAAAAAAAAAATTCAATGCTAAAAGCTAACTGAACCATTACATTCACTAAATTTCTTTTCTAAAATTCATTTTCAAACAAGTAATACAGAAATTCTTGACCTTAAAAGATGTATACAATGAAGTCAAGAAAATCCTCTTGATTCCTGTCCAATTCCACCCAGAGGGAGACACTCTTGTCAGTGGTAGGTATCTGTCTAGACTGTGGGGGAGGGGTTTAACACAAATAGGATCACATTGTACATACCATTCTGTTCTTTTCATTTAAAAATAAATTGAGCTTCATTCCATATCACTACATAAAAATCTACCTCAGCTTTGAAACTTTGCACACTATTTCCATAGTATCACCTACCATAGTTGATCTGGCATCCCCTATTGAGTTTGACATTTAGGTTGACTGTACATTCTGAATAACAAAAAGATAAAATGTGAACTAACGATTTTTTTTTTAACATAGTTCAAAAAATATTTAAGGGAAAACTTTTTTTTTTTTTAAGCTCTGGCAATCTGTAAAACGACAACAAAAAAATCCAGAAACACATTCAGGGAAGCTATTTGACACAGGTGGCAGATAGTATTTCTTTATAAAATGCTTTTTGCCCTTTGGAACAGCCCAGTTGCAAGCAAAGGACAAGACTACAAGCATAACCTTACTCCATATTCTGGGCCCTTGGTTGTCCTACACTGGCCCCCACTGGCAGGCTCAGAAATAGTAGCAGCACTCAGAGGTGGAGATACTATGAAGTTGATGGAGATTATGATTTAGGGCCCCTCATTCACCTGGGGATTCTTCCAAGGCCCAGGCAATTCAGTCAATATGATTTTGTAACATTTGCTAAAGAATGTTTAATTATTGGCTAAGTTGAGGGCAACAGATAAAAGCCTGAAACTTGAGAATACTGAAAATGAGGAAAAAGACGCCTGTAGAACAGAGTCATAAATTAGGCAACTTGTACTTCAGCACAGTGAAATCTACTATAAACCTCATCCTTCCGAGGTGTTCTTGGTGGCTTAGCTGGTAAGTGCCCGACTCTTGATCTCAGGGTCATGAGTTCAAGCCTTAACAAAACAAAGCAAAACAAAAAAATACCTTATCTTTCTATCAGTATCAGGCATGTCCAGACTGATGGGAGCTGTCATGTTAACACAACATCACATTTTGGTATATTACTTGTATTCGTTTTAACCTATGACTATAACGTATGAAATATCTTTATGTAATTATATCTTTTTTTATAAGATTTTATTCATTCATTTGAGAGACAGTGAAAGCAATAGAGGTCACAGAGGGAGAAGCAGAGTCACCAGTAAGTGGAGAGCCCAACATGGGACTCGATCCCAGGACCCTGAGATCATGACCTGAGCTGAAGGCAGACCCTTTAGCAACTGAGCCACCCAGGCACCCCAATGTAATGTATCTTAAACTTATCTTTCACTGACCTTTGATGTTCTCTCGTATTACTTTTATTGTTTTAGGTATTTTGGAATTTACTGATTTGTATTTAAAATAAACTGTTGACAAAGATTCACCAGAAATAATCTGAACAAGCAGAAAAATACAGTTAATACTACTGAAACACTAAAATAATTCAAGGACACATGGTTTATCCAACAAAACAATGCCTCTTAAATGCTATCATTGATACAAAAACTGACTGCTTCTTTAAACACAGTGGCATAATCAACAATATTCAATTACTTCTGTTTTTTTCCTGAATACATAAAAATTAAAATGCCAATTAAAAATGAATATATCTTCTCTTTAAATGTTTCCGACAAATACAATTTCAATATTTTCATCCAACAGTGGTGTGGTTGAAGAGATTTTTCATTCGTAAATTAAACAATCCACCCAAACGGAACTGATACTCTAGAGGCTCATAGTGCAAATAAAGACTTTAGGAATGCAGCAAATGACTTTTCTAACAAACATACCAAACAGATAAAATTCTTAGAAGATACATGCAAGAAGCCCCTCTAAGCAGCTGGCCACAGAACTAGAACATTTAACCATTTTACTATTGATTTAAATGGGACTCTAGATGCTTCCAGAACTCTCATCTTGGGCTTTGTATTTTGCTTTTCCACTTTCACTAATGACACAAACATGATTCAAATCCCTGAAATATTCATTATAGTCAAGGGCATATCCTACAACAAACTTGTCTGGAATTTCAAATCCAACAAAGTCTGGTCTGTATCCGATACTTTGAGGAGTCCTTTTCACCAGCAAACTTGCAACCTTGACCATCTTTGGATTATACTGCTGGACCAAGGAAAGCAAGGTTTGCATTGTTTTGCCTGTTTCAATTATATCTTCAACAATCAAGACATTCTTTCCAGTTAAAGTTGAAAGATCATCTCCACCAATTACTTTTATGTCCCTTGTTGACTGGTCATTACAGTAGCTTTTCAGTCTAATAAAGTCTACAGTCATAGGAATGGATCTATCACTATTTCGGTTCAGTGCTTTAATGTAATCCAGCAGGTCAGCAAAGAATTTATATCCCCCCTTGAGCACACAGAGGGCTACGATGTGATGGCTTCCCATGTCCTTCATCACATCTCGTGCAAGCCGTTCCGTCCTGTCCATAATTAATCCATGAGGAATAAACACCTTTTCCAAATCCTGAGCGTAATGATTAGGTATACAAAATAAATCTAGGTCATAACCTGGTTCATCATCACTAATCACAATGCTGGGGCTTCGGGTTGCCATAACGGAGCTGGCTGGTGCGTGGACTGAGGGCAGTTCTCTTCTGTATTACTTTTAGTTTTAGTTCTCAAAGGTTTTTCAAGCTCAGTAAATTCCTGATAGATAAACAGGATTTTTTTTTTTAAATAACAAGAAAATGTAGACAAAAAAGTAACATACTTAAAATTTACTCTTTGAAAATCATAGGTATCAAAAATTTTAATAGCCACATTTCATCATCTTGAAGTAACATAATTTATCATTTCAAAACAAAATTATTCATTTCCAATAAATATTAAATACTAAATTCATGCAATTTTTTAAAAATTCTAGAATATAGAAATTGAGATTTAAGACCTTGTAAAGCGTATTTAAAAATAATGGCATAGTATTATCATACTGTTAAATAACTTACTTTTCTTACTTAACAATATATAATAGGTTTGTTTTGCCAACTTGACAAGCTAATTCTAAAGTTTATATGGAAATACAAGTACCAAGAAAAGCAAAAGACACTCGTAAGGTGGAAGAACATGTTCTACTGGATATCAAGCTATAGTAATTCATTAAGACAGAAGCTAATATGATAAATGGTAAAATTCTAAAGACTGGAACAATAAAGAAAAGTTAACTTTTTTTATGGAAGAGGAATTAGGATCAGCTGGGGTGAAAAAGTGAGGACTTCTTGGTGCTGACAACATTCTTTCTCTTAATTTGGACATTGAATACCTAGGGATTTATCTTATTGATTAAATTATAAAATTATTTTTATGTTTATAATTCTATAATTATAGCATTTATTATATATGTTATAGCATAATATTTAAAATTATGGTCATATTAAATAACAAATATTATTAATGACTATTCATTAAACTGTATACTTGCATTTCATGTACTTTTCTGTATTCACATTGCAATTTATAATAAAAAAAAGTTAAGATATGTAAAACATCCAGCACATAGTAAATATCCAATTAAGGGTAGCTACTATTGCCATTAAAAAAAAAAAAAAAAAGAGGCAGTGGATTTGTGACAATCTCCAAGAAATATAGTTAACTGGATGAAAACAGAACCATGTATGTAGCATTCTCCATCACTATTTTTAAATTAGGAATACACACACACACACACACACACACACACACTGCATATGAATATGAATAAAACCTCTCTAGGCTACACAAGAAAGTGGTGATGGTGGTTATATTTACCAGTAGAGAAGTAAGGCTGGGGTAGCGTGGCAGGCAGACTTATTTTCATTGTATATTATACATTGTACCCTTTGGATTTTGAACCACATACATAATTTCCTATTTTAATTTATTTTTAAGCATTTATTTATTTAAGTAATTGCTACAGCTAACGTGGGGCTTGAAGTTGCACACTCCTCTGACTGAGCCAGGCAGACACCCCTATTTTAAAAATTTAGATATTTAGGATACATATTGTCACTCAAATATCATTCAGGTTCTATAGAGGTAGCTCTTTATACTTAGTAGCTTATTTTACTTCAACAGAAAATTTAAAACAGAAGAAAAATTAAAATATTTTCTCTGTAAAATGAAAAGGCTTCAGTCAATCAAATACAGGCACGCCTGGGTGGCTCAGTTTGTTAAGCATCTACCTTCCGCTCAGGTCATGGTCCCAGGGTCGTGGGATGGAGCCCCACGTCGGGCTCCCTGCTCACAGGGGAGTCTGCTTCTCCCTCTGCCTCTCCCACCGCTTGGCCTGCTTTCCCTCAAATAAAAATCTTAAAAAAAAAAAAAAACCATAAAAAATAAAAAAAAAAAACAATAAAATACCTTTATCATAACAACAGCCTTGTGAGGAAGCAAAATTGTATACATTTCACACACTACTTAACAGAGCCTCAGAGAGATTAAGTGACTTGCCCTAATCATAGCTCGTTCAGTGTTAGAACTATAACTAGTTTTTATGCTTCCAAACCTCATGTGCTTTTCTCTCAATCACACTGACACAGCATGCCTTCCTAAATGTCTTCCACCAGGGGAGCAGGGGGAGTAAAGAAGATGCACTATTGGGATGTCTGGGTGGCTCAGTTGGTTAAGCTGCTGCCTCTGGCTCGGGTCATGATCCCAGCATCCTGGGATCGAGTCCCACATTGGGCTCCTTGCTCAGCAGGGAGCCTGCTTCTCCCTCTGCCTCTGCCTGCCACTCTGCCTGGGCTCACTCTCTCTGACAAATAAATAAATAAAATCTTAAAAAAAAAAAAAAAAAGGGAAGAAGATGCACTATTTGTAGCTTCTCATTTGTGTGTGGGGAGGGTTCCCTATTAATCAGAAAATTCTCTTTTAAAAAGTCAAGGGTCACCTCTGTGGCTCAGTCGATTAAGCGTCTGCCTTCAGCTCAGATCATGATCCCGGGTTCCTAAAAGCCCCTAGTTGGGCTCTCTGCTCAGTGGGGAGCCTGCTTCTCCCTCTCTCTCTGCAGCTCCCCCTGCTTGTGCTCCCTTTCTCTGTCAAATAAATAAAATCCTTAAAAAAAAAAAAAGTCAAGACAAAGAAAACTAATTGCATAACACATTGCACTTTCAAAAGCTCACATAAACACAAAAAAGCTACATGATTTATACCTAGTACTGTTCCTGGCTCAGGTGTCAGGAAGATACTTTTGTTTTACTCCTCACTTGTTTAATAAAAGTTAAGGGCCAGTCTCTCTTTTCTTTTTTTTTTTTTTTAAGATTTTATTTTTTTAAAGTAACCTCTACACCCAGTGTGGGACTCCAAGATCTCACATTACAACCCCAAGATCAAGAGCTACATGTTCTACTGACTGAGCCAGCCAGGCACTCCTACAATCAGAGTTTTCTTGAAGTAAATGCTCTAAGAAAAGGGAGGCTCAGGGTTCTAAGGGCTGAGTCTCTTAATAAAAAAGACATCTATCTAACCATATAAGAGAGTAATTAGAGCACTTAAAAAATATTTCCAAAAATATGTCAAATTCAACATAATTACCACACATTATTTCCCATTGAAAGAAATCTTGAAAATTCATTCTCACTAGATGGGTTTCTTGAAGAGCTTCTAAAATTTCTTCTCATAGTATAGTCACATGATTAATAGCGTTCCTATTACCCTACAACTTCCCACAGACTTTTATATACAGTATCTTATCTGATCCTTGAAACAAGCTGCTAAAGCCAATAGGACAGAAATCCCTGACATACAACAGATAAAAATACTGAGGCTCTGGTAGGTTTGTTCCCCAAGGTCATGTACCTTATCTTTTAGCTGAATGTTCTCCCCAACAGAGGATGTGGAAAATTCTGTTATCAGGTTCTAAACATTCAATTTGTCAATTACATACGTCTTTTCCTTTTCCTTCCTGTTGTATGCCTATAATTCCCTTTCAGAAAGGAAGATTTAAGAGCTAAATGACATCCAATCCTGATCAGTCCTAACTCTGCTTAGCTGAGATCAGATGGGAAATAGAAATCTATTTTCTTACCCATAAGAGCGTTAAGTCAAACGAGCTGGTTTAAATTACTGGATAAAAATCTACATTTGTAGATTTTTGTAGATTGTAGATTTTGATTTTGTAGATTGTAGATTTTGATGGGATACACTCATCAAAATATTTGTAAACTATGTAACTACTCTATACCCTAAATGAGGTATCAATCTTATAAACCCAAAGCTCAGGATAATAATCTAAACCACAGAAATTAAAAATCAAATTGCCAAGGCTCAAATCCTGGCTCTCTATTTTAGCTGTGTAATCTCCTGGGCAAGTTTCTTCACCTCTTGGGGCTTCTCCACATTCCTTAGCTCTAAAATAAGGGTTTAAAAAAACGCTTTCATAAAAGTTGAAAGATAATGCACATAAAGTGTTTAGCAAAGTGTCTAGTGCTTAGTTAAGTACTGATAACTTGGCACCAATACTATTATTGGCATTTAACATTCAGGAAACTAGATTTATCTATGCATTTTTCTATTCAATCCATAAAAGACCACACTTTGGGTTATACAGTAACATATACCTAATACACTTGGTTTTAAAAAGATATTACAACCACCAATATACTCATTCCCTTTGGGAGTTAGCCAAATACCACTTATCTAAATCTTAGGAAAAAGAGTTGCAAAAGATTACTCCATCTATCAATGACAAGGCTGAAACTGAGAGCTTTGCTTTTAAGGGAAATAGATGTTACGTATACAAAGTTTGTTTGAAATGATATGAAGCTGTAAAGTGGCTGGATGGTAATTTCTATCTTAATAATGGACTGATGCAACCTACAGAGGGTCAGTATTACGGCAGTATTACAAGCCCTGTTGTAAGACGGGTGATGCAACTTCAATAGTCAATCCTGAGTCACCAGCATAACCTCTGAGAAGCAGTGAAGGAGAAAGGAAAAATTCTTGAGTACTGACTCCTAAGCTGAACATCTTAGTAAACCCTGTGTAAGATGTTTCAGTCCTATTTGGACAAGGTATGATGAATACCAAGAATCTCAAGAATACATTTAGTGGAAAAATACTGGAGTCATCAGTTCCTATGATAAAGTCCCATGCATTTTTGTAAGCTCTCAAAATATTTTGTATCAGTCCATAGCAGGTCCTCCAAAAAGATTTGTTGAATGAACTAAGTGATTAAAAAAAAAAAAACAAAACTGAGAGCATTGGCTAAGAAGCCAAGCTGACTTGGATATCAATTCTAAGTGCATCACTCACCAGCTCTATGACTTTAAGCTACTTATTTAATATTTCAGTCCCGATTTTCTCATGTGGAAAACGGGAAATTCAAGTATTAAACTGTAAGGGCCGAATGGCATAGGAAACCAAACAATGGTTGGCACATAGTAAGTCTACAGTAAACAGCAGCCTCTATTATTTTTTGCTACAGGTTGTTATACAAGAGTAAGGGCAATCTCAAAAAGTCTTTGTCTATCAAATGGGTTCAAGCACACTCTGACCTTTTCCAGGAAGAGTGAAGTTAGAAAGGTATCAAGAATAAAGGACGGGGAAGACCTTGCAAATGATAATCAAATGATAAATGATAATGATAATCGGGGCCACAAAGGAAAAAAAAAAAAGAAAAAAAAGATGAGCAGAGAAGGAGAGCTAGAAAAATGGTACATCCCAAGGTGGGAGCGATGGCATTAGTAAGCTCTTCAGGAAAGGGCTGCCACACCGGGGTGGGGACTCGGGGCGAGGAGGCAGTTACTTTGGCCAGGCCTGTGACTTACCGTGGGGTAGGGCAATGTGGACAGCCTAGTATAAATAAAGATAGGTGGCTAGGGAGAGCAGGGCCGACAGAATGGCTAGGAGCCACGATCTGCGGCCGAGCGGTGCTCCGGCCAGGACCCAGCTCGAGGGCTGCGGGCTGGAGAACAACAAAGAGCCCTGAGGCTCCGACACCCCAGAACCGTAGCGGCTATAAAGGGCAAAGAAATTTCTTCTGAGGTGATCACAGCATCTACGCTGAGACCTGCCTGCCTGGGACGGGTTGGAAGCTGGGAACAGGAAGAGCCGCTTCCCGCTTCAAGATGAAGGACGGAGGAGGGACAAGCAGACAGGGGAGAACCAGAAGCAAAAGAGCCAAATCCCACCGCCTCGAGGGAATCACGCACAGCACACTAGCCTCTGCCCCCCAGGGCCCAGCGTAGAAGGCGGGACTTCTGCCGTTACCTGCGGAAACGGCCTCCGGGTGAGAGGTCGCATGAGGGATCGGCAGCTGCTGAACCAGTGGGGCCTGCGCCTGGAGCGGATGTTGCCTCCCATTGGTGGCTGTCGGGTGCGGCCAGCAGCCAATGAGTCCGCCGAGGGGGCGGAGCGGTGACGTTTGTTGCGGAGGAGGCCGCTTCGAATCGGCGGCGGCCAGCTTGGTGGCCTGGACCAATCAGCGGCCTCCAACGAGCAGGGCCTTCGCCAATCGGTGGCCTCCACGACGGGGCTGGGGGGAGGGTATATAAGCGGCCTCGGCGACGGCGCGGTCGACGCTGGCTGAGACATCACAGGCTCATCAACTTGGGGTTTTTTTGTGAGTCTGAGAGGTAAGCGCCGCGGCCTGTCTTTCCGGACCTGCCCTTCGCCTTGTCTGCTTTGCCTGCTGACCCCGGGCCCTGTACCTTCAGATCAGTAACCTCGGTGCGCTCGGGTGTTGTGGCCTGTGGCTGGATTGCCTGTGACGTCCTGCCAGCCTGCTGACCGACTGGCCTACGGCGCCGGCAAGATGAAGCTGTCCCTGGTGGCTGCGGTGCTGCTGCTGCTCGGCGCGGCGCGGGCCGAGGAGGAGGACAAGAAGGAGGACGTGGGCACGGTAGTGGGCATCGACCTAGGGACCACCTACTCCTGGTGAGTGGGGTTTCTGGAAAGGGGGGTATGGGGCGTGGCCTCCTGGGCCACTGTGAGAATCACGGTGCTGATTCCAGGCGTTCTTGGTGATTTTTCTCTGCCAGCGTCGGGGTGTTCAAGAACGGCCGCGTGGAAATCATCGCCAACGATCAGGGCAACCGCATCACGCCGTCTTATGTGGCCTTCACTCCGGAAGGGGAGCGTCTGATCGGCGACGCAGCCAAGAACCAGCTCACCTCCAACCCCGAGAACACGGTCTTCGACGCCAAGCGGCTCATCGGCCGCACGTGGAACGACCCGTCCGTGCAGCAGGACATCAAGTTCCTGCCGTTCAAGGTGCGATGGGGTTTTCCTCACCCGAACGGAGGTGGGCGGCTGTGGTCGGAGTGTTTAAGATTAAGAAGTTGCTGGAAAATGGTGGAGACAACAGGAAGGGCACAGACATAGTGTGTTTGTAGTAACTTTTATTGAGTAATCTTGGTAAGTTACAAAACTTGCTCGAAGAAAGCTTGGCCGGCAGAAACCTTTCACACGTTAACTGCCCTGTCTCCATCGTTTAGGATTAAGAGCCTGATTAAAATTGAGGAGGCTTGTCTTCGTCAGGCACCCATATTCCTTAACCTATTTCTAGTCAATATGCGGTTCCAGGCGACCAAAGTAAACCAAACCATGGGGGAGGAAGTGGGACTCAGACAGCCCTCTTTTTAAGTTTCAATGTTCTTGCTTCTGTGCCTGGAAGTAATGATCGTTCTGTAAAATAGGTGGTTGAGAAGAAGACTAAACCATACATTCAAGTTGATATTGGAGGTGGGCAAACAAAGACATTTGCTCCTGAAGAAATTTCTGCCATGGTTCTCACCAAAATGAAGGAAACTGCAGAGGCTTACTTGGGAAAGAAGGTAACTGTTTCTAGAACGGTGTCAAGTAATTCTATTTTTACTATTCTTGATTTATTGTGTAGATGCCTTCATTGTTTTAATAATTTTGAATCTGAATGACATCTATGTATATCAGTTTTAATTACTTGGATGTTTTACTGTGGGCCAAACAAAATATCAAGGACTTTTCATGTATTACCATGTAATGCTTGCAAATCCGTGGGTATAAAATTACATATTATTATACACACCTAACAAACAAATTGTCTTAGAAACTAAAGTGGTGTTCTTTTGTTTTGTTTTGTTAAGATTTTATTTATTTGACAGAAAGAGATCACAAGTAGGCAGGGGGGTAGGCGGGGGAAGCGGGTGAGCAGAGATCCTGATGTGGGGCCCGATCCCAGGACCCTGAGATCATGACCTGAGCCAAAGGCAGAGGCTTAACCAGCCATCCAGGCGCCCCTAAAGTGATGTTTTGAGTGCAACTTATATAAGAGGTAAACTGTGTGATAAAATACACTAACTTACCTTTTGTTATTCTTTTAGGTGACCCATGCAGTTGTTACTGTACCAGCCTATTTCAATGATGCCCAACGACAGGCAACCAAAGATGCTGGGACTATTGCTGGATTGAATGTCATGAGGATCATTAATGAGCCGTGAGTGTTAATTCAAAAGGCATATTTTCCAAATCGGGGGAATGTAAACTTAACTAAATTTTTTTTTTCTTTCTCTTTCTCTTAACAGTACAGCAGCTGCTATTGCTTATGGCTTGGATAAGAGGGAAGGGGAGAAGAATATCCTGGTGTTTGACCTGGGTGGTGGAACTTTCGATGTGTCTCTTCTCACCATTGATAATGGTGTCTTCGAAGTCGTAGCTACTAATGGAGATACTCATCTGGGTGGAGAAGACTTTGACCAACGTGTCATGGAACACTTCATCAAACTCTACAAAAAGAAGACTGGCAAAGATGTTAGAAAAGATAACAGAGCTGTGCAGAAACTCCGGCGGGAGGTAGAAAAGGCCAAACGGGCCCTGTCTTCTCAACATCAAGCAAGAATTGAAATTGAGTCTTTCTATGAAGGAGAAGACTTCTCTGAGACTCTGACACGGGCCAAATTTGAAGAGCTAAATATGGTATGTTCTTGGGGTTTTGTTTTGTTTTGGGGTGTCTTGTTTTTGTTTTTTTGGGTTTTTTTTGCTTTGCTAATGGGATCTAGTTAGACTTTGTGTTTAGGGTACTGTATTTAGGTATGTAGACAATATCTAGGTACAATAGGCATCATCACAGTAATTGTGTTCTCTATTCCAGGACCTGTTCCGTTCTACCATGAAGCCTGTCCAGAAGGTGCTGGAGGATTCGGACTTAAAGAAGTCTGATATTGATGAAATTGTTCTTGTTGGTGGCTCTACTCGAATCCCAAAGATTCAACAACTGGTTAAAGAGTTCTTCAATGGCAAGGAGCCATCCCGTGGCATCAACCCAGATGAGGCTGTAGCATATGGTGCTGCTGTCCAGGCTGGTGTACTCTCTGGTGATCAAGATACAGGTATGTCCCTGTCACAGCATCTTCCATAGTACTTTCACTTCAATAGCTTGATAGGTACTTCAATAGCTTGATGGGAAGAGTGTAACTATCTTTTGCTTTACAAGGTACTAGAACATGAGCAACAGGGTCTCACAGCTAGTAAAGGATAGAGTGAGGACAAGACCTGGCTCAGTTTCAAGATCATTAGCGGCTATATTGAATTCAGTGCTTCTAAAATGATTCTGCATTAGAACCTCACATTAAATGGCAAGTTGGAGAAGATAAAGTTACACAGTTCCAGAGGAGACTGCTTAGTAGTGCTCTTGGACTCTTGAATTGGAATTTAACTTTGGTTAACTTGACCTTTGCAGGTGATCTGGTACTGCTTGATGTGTGTCCCCTTACACTTGGTATTGAGACTGTGGGAGGTGTCATGACCAAACTGATTCCAAGGAACACTGTGGTGCCCACCAAGAAGTCTCAGATCTTTTCTACAGCTTCTGATAACCAACCAACCGTTACAATCAAGGTCTATGAAGGTAATACCCTACGTTCGTGAATGACCTAGTATGTTTTTGAGAAGGATGTTTTCTTAATATATTCTATTGAAATGAGAAAGGAAAGAAATATTTGCTATTTTCAGACAGGGTCCCTAATATGACTAGTGTTGAGTTTGGTAGAGTCAGCCCCAAAATCTAGTTCTTACCTTGCTATCTGGCACGCTTTGCCTTTAAAAATAACTTCTGAGCTGGCTTCTAGAAATGTTGATAATGCTGTAGATGAAATTCAATTAAAAGTTAGTAGTAACTTAATAGTCCCGCTTGCTACTCCTTATAGATCAATACTGACCCACTTCTAGCTTGATAAGCTTGCCCTTGCCACTGTAGGCTCTAACAGACTGAAATACAAGGATCCAGATCCCCTAATGTTTGTCGGTAACAACTAACAAGTTTTTGTTTTTTGGTTTTTGGGTTTTTTTTTTTGGTATAACTTCTAGGTGAACGACCCCTTACAAAAGACAATCACCTTCTGGGAACTTTTGATCTGACTGGAATTCCTCCTGCTCCCCGTGGGGTCCCACAGATTGAAGTTACCTTTGAGATAGATGTGAATGGCATTCTTCGAGTGACAGCCGAAGACAAGGGTACAGGCAACAAAAACAAGATTACAATTACCAATGACCAAAATCGCCTGACACCTGAAGAAATTGAAAGGATGGTTAATGATGCTGAGAAGTTTGCCGAGGAAGACAAAAAGCTCAAGGAGCGCATTGACACCAGAAATGAATTGGAAAGCTATGCCTATTCTCTAAAGAATCAGATTGGAGATAAAGAAAAGCTGGGAGGTAAACTCTCCTCGGAAGATAAGGAGACCATGGAAAAAGCCGTAGAGGAAAAGATTGAATGGCTAGAAAGTCACCAAGATGCTGACATTGAAGATTTCAAAGCTAAAAAGAAGGAACTAGAAGAAATTGTTCAGCCAATTATCAGCAAACTCTATGGAAGTGCAGGCCCTCCCCCAACTGGTGATGAGGAACCAGCAGACAAAGATGAGTTGTAGACACTGCTCTGCTAGTGCTTAAATATTGTAAATACTGGACTCAGGAACTTTCGTTAGGAGAAAATTGAGAGAACTTAAGTCTCGAATGTAATTGGAATCTTCACCTTGGAGTGGAGTTGAAAATGATATAGCCCAAGTGGCTGTTTACTGCTTTTCATTAGCAGTTGCTCACATGTCTTGGGGTGGGGGGAACGGAAGAATTGGCGATCTTAAAACGTGGGTAAAAAAAGCTGGGTTAGGGCGTGTGTTCACCTTGGAAATGTTCTATTTAACAATTGGGTCATGCGCATCT